TATGAATACATAATAATTACAGTAATTAAATTGAGTATGAAAGTGGTATTCAATAATATAATATTGTAATTTTTACGGAGATATTATAAAAATAAAAAGGAGTTGTATATTCATATACTTTTAATGCGTATACAAATTTAAAGGAATTTATGCAATACTTTTTAATAAAAAAATTTTGTTACTTATGAATAAATACACTAAACAAAAGGAACTTTCATCAGAAAAAAAATATACTTTTCTAAATAAACTTTTCGTGATGTTTTCAAATGTGCAATTAAACTTTTTCTATTACTTCTAAGTTTTAATATTATTACTTATTATTAAAAAATAAGTATTTACATATAAAAAAAAATAATTAAGAACAAAAAAAATTGTATTAAATTAATACTGATTTTGATTTTTAATATGTTAAAGGTAATCATTTTGAACCTATTTTTTATTGTCTTTTAAAGTGAAAGTTTTAATGAAAAATACCTTCTCAGCTTCGCATCGAAGCTAAAAAATGAATTTGTTACCATAACTTATAGTTCAACTTGCAAGTTTGAAATTGACATTATTAAATTGAAAAAAATGAAATTTTTAAGATTAATATGCAATCTGGAAATTTTATAATTACTAATTACAGTACATTTGTCAGAAAAATTCGATTTTTTTACATTTTTATCGTAATAGATAACTGAAATAGAAAGAATAGTAATCATATCCTAATAACTTTTGGTGTTTAAAAAAATTCTGCAATTGAAATATTCAGAACTTAATTAATTTTAATAATTTACTTTAATTAAATGAACCAATCAAACCAAAGTAGTTAAAAAGATTTACTCAATTGAGCATATTATCAAAAATATAATTATAATTGTAAAACTCCATCGTTAACTTCAGGTGAAACTAAAAATCATTTTTTTTTTAAATTTATGATTTATATAGCAAAATATTACTAAAAAATTTGGCATATTATAGACTGGTAGTAGCACACAGAAATAGAGTTAAAAAATTAATAAATTATAAAGTAAAATTATTTACTTTTGTAGTTGAATACTTTTATCATATCAAATTTAATTCGACAATAAATAATTTAAGAATATTAAAAATTAATGATTTTAATTGTTTGTATGGACAAATCTAGTTAAGCTACTTTTTATTTGAATAAGGAATATTTTTTTGATTTTTAAGAGTAATAACTTAAACTAATCATTAACTTAAATATCATAAACTTAAATGAATCATTTGACGTATCGTTGAAAAAAGTAGGTCTAGTGAGGGTTGGCAAAATAAATCGTAGCCAGAAAAAGAACCACATAGTAAAATAATATTAACATGAATATCAATTTCTTCTCACGAGGGGAGACTATAGTGATAAGATCCTTTATATTTATTGAAATTATTGAATCTAAATGAGATAAATATCAAATGATTTGAAAATTCTATTCTAACTCAAAAAAAAAATGCAAAATTTTAGAAGCCACAAACGGATTTGAACCTCGTACCCTAGGCGTTAAAGATCAAGGTGTTACCCATTCGGCAACTATTCGTTGATTTTTGTTGCATGATAAAATTGGCTATTTAAGCTAACTCAAATTTAAAAATTACTTTTTCGACTTTAAAAAAGTAAAAAATGTTAATAAGTATAATATCATATGTCTTATGAACTTTATTCTATGTCAATGAAATTATATAATATTCATGAAAGTCAGTTTATTCCCCTAATAAAATATTTTAAAATAAAATAAAATACAAAACCTAGAATTTTAATAAAAAATAGCATATTTTTAAATACGGTAGCCTTTTGCGCATAGAAGATAGGTCGTCGGGACAAATTTTTTTTTTTCATTTAGTAGTACATAAAATAAGCTTTAATTTGATATATGTTTAAAGGACGCAGTATTTCCGGAACATTTTCAAAAATTAAGTTGAAAAAGTTAGTTTTTGTAAAAAAGTTGCTATTTTAAATCCCCCCTGTGAGCAGAATAAGTGTTAGATTTTCAAAAAAAAATGATATCAAATGAAAGAAAATTACCTAAGGTTTCAATATAAAGAAATATTATTTTGATTAGTTAATATTTGAAAAAGTTATGGCAGTTTTAAGTACAAAAAACATCGTTATAAAAGGTGATTTTTATCGCAAATATTACATTTTTTTTATAATTTCGACAGCCATTTGCACATAGAAGATAAGGTGTCGGGACAAATTTTTTTTTTTCATTTTATAGTACATAAAAAAAGCTTTAATTTGATATATGTTTAAAGGACGCAGTATTTCCGGAACATTTTCAAAAGTTCAGTTGAAAAAGTTCTATTTTTTATACAATGTTTCAAAGTTTGAACCCCCCCTATATAAGGGGAAATTGTCTAATTTTAATAAAAAGTATGTCAAATGGAAGATGTACTTATAATGTATTTAGAAAAAAAAAAATTGTGCTGATACATGCATTTTTCGAAAAGTTATAGCATTTTTAAGTTGAAAATTAAAAATTGAAAATCGAAAATTTTAACACAAAAATAGTGTTTTTTTAACTACGGCAAACCGTTTACATGCAGAAGATAAAGTGTCGGGACAAATTTTTTTTTTCATTTTATAGTACATAAAATAAGCTTTAATTTGATTTATGTTTAAAGGACGCAGTATTTCCAAGTTCTACTTTCTATATGCATTTTTAAAGTTAGTTTTTGTAAAAAAGTTGCAATTTTAAATCCCCCCCCATGAGCAGGTTAAGTGTTAAATTTTCAAAAAAATTATATCAAATGAAAGGAAAATATCTAAGGTTTTAGTTTAAAAAAAAATTATGTTGATTTGTTGATTTTTGAAAAAGTTATGGAAGTTTTAAGAAAAAAAAGTGAAAAAAATGACAAAATTTGTCGATTTTTAAATTTGTAATTTTTTTGGATATTTCCCCCATTTGCGGGGAACGAGGGAAAATTTTTAAATTTTTAAGGGTAATGTCTTCAACTAGATACAATTTGTGATCTTTTGACGTATTGTTAAAAGAAATCGGTCCAGTGAGAGCTGAGAAAAAGTAGTGACAGACACAAAAAAAAAAAAAAATAAACACATCATGGTAAAATTAATACCTTCTCAGCTTCGCATCGAAGCTAAAAAAAAATAAACACATCATGGTAAAATTAATACCTTCTCAGCTTCGCATCGAAGCTAAAAACTGATACAATTCTGTAGTGTTTAATTTTTAGTAGGAATTGTTTTATTAATCTTAAAGTAAAATTAACTCTTATTTCCTTAATTATTAACTAGTTTTGTGATATGTAAATATAATACATGAATATATAGATATGACACGGCACCAGGGCCGTCCTAAGGCCGGGGCGAGCGGGGCCCACGCCCCGGGCCCCGCGCTTTGGACTCCTCGTTTGGGCCCCGCGCTAACGCACTTAAATAATCTTAAGTTTTCTTTGAATTAACTATTTACATATATTATAAATGTAGTTTGAATTTTTATTTGACAATATTATATTATTAAATAAATGAAATGAAATACGAAATACTAATGCAGTATAAACAATGATAATAAAAGTGAATAGATTTTCTACATAACGTACTAAACAAATTATATATTATTGTTATCAAGCCGTTTCCGTCGAGTGGACATGGGGAATACGTTTCTCATTTTTAAAATTAGAATTTGTACAAAACAATGTACGTGTTTTGTTATTTTGATTAATTGAGCAGCTCCCGACGATACTAAATATGATGGAATAAGTTACAGCTATAGTTAAATTTTAACCGTTACCATCGGGCATCATTTATTTTATATATTTCTATGTGAGTCTATTGACAAACTTATACAGGTTTATTTGTAGTTAACTGTTAACTTAGGTAAGTTAAATTTTTTTTAATTTAATTTTACTGTTTTAAGTATTAATTAACTTTTTACAATAACAGATTGTAGTTTTATTCAATAACACTTATTGATTTTTTTTTTTTTTGCTACAATAATTATTTAATAGAATCATAATTTGTTTATTGCTTATAATTCTTTTTCTGTAAATTAGTTTTATGTCAACAATTCATTATGTCAAGAGATCGTGATAAGTATAGGAAATATTTATCTGGAAATGAAAAAAGAGCAAAAAAAGCTAAAATAGAACTAGAAAAAAGTAAAATTCGTGGCTCTATGAGGAAATTTATTAACAATTCCAATTCCAGTTCTAGCAATGTTACACTCACGTCTAACTATGAAAAGCCATCTACTTCTAAGGTAACAAGTTTAAGTATAAAGAGTAGGGCTTTTAAGAAAATATTATTATTCAGATGATTTTTTCACAAGTATTCAAATAATTATCTAGGTAAAATAATGATACATTGTTTATAACTGATGATATAAATATAAATGTGAGTAAATCCCAAATTATGATTATCATCTTAATGAATTCTTATTAATGTCTATTTGCATCTTAAATATAATATAAATATACTAAATTAGGTACTTATTATATATAACATATTAAATAAACTTTTCCTTATTATCCACACAATTTGTGTCATATCTTTTAATTACAACAAAGAATGCATATTGAAACAGTATTTATAAATTGAGGAATTTTTTATTAAGTTTACTAACATAATTCACAAAATAAATTGTTTTAATAATTTAAAATTTGATTGTTGGTCACTTTTTATTCATTTTTTGTATAACTTTTTACTTATTACTTCAAGTATAAATATAAATACATTTTTTTGTATGTTTTATTTTTATTAGTCACAACTACAAGACACCAGCAATCATGTATTTGAGTTGGAGGACCCAGCAAATTGGCCATCAGTTATTGACAGGCAGTATCATTCATGTATTGCCAATAAAGAGGCAATTCAAATAAAAAATTTTAAATTTCCAGTGAATAAAGAACAAAGATCATTCTCTGAAAACTATTATTACAAGACTATGACAAATGGTGAAAAGGTAATAAGACCATGGCTCATATATCAAAAAAAAATGGATGCTGTATTTTGTTTTTCGTGTCGGTTGTTCCCAAATCCCAAGAACAAAACTAGTTTTACTGATGGCTTCAATGACTGGAAACATTTATCTGAACGAATTAAAAGCCATGATTCTTCAATTTATCATAAAAAGTCTAATCAACAATGGTTAGAATTATCATGGCGTATAGATAGTGGTAAAACTTTAGACAGTGAACTTCAAAAAGAAATTCAAACTGAAAAAGACCGCTGGAGAACAGTACTGAAAAGAATAATAGCTTGTATTATTTATCTTGCTCAACAAAATGACGCGTTCAGAGGAAAAAACTATACCATTTATACAGAATCAAATGGTAAATTTCTTAAACTTATTAAAATGATAGCAAGTTTTGATAATCCTATGGCTGAACACTTGAGAAATATAAAAAATAAAATAATCCATCAACATTATTTGGGACTCAGGATACAAACTGAATTAATACATTTGATTGGAAGTAAAATAAGGACAGAAATCGTAACACGTATTAAAAAAGCAAAATATTACACTATTATGCTTGACGGAACTCCTGATGCATCTCACAAGGAACAATTAACGTTAATCGTCAGAATTGTACAGATAACTAAAACTTATAATAATGTTAAAGTTTCGGTGGAAGAATATTTTTTAAACTTTTTACACATAACTTTGAAAACTGGATTAGGATTATTTGATGCTTTAAAGCAAGAGTTATCAAATTTAGGTTTATGTTTATCAAATTGTCGTGGCCAAGATTATGACAATGGTGCAAATATGGTTGGACATAAGCAAGGTGTACAGGCTAGAATTTGAAATTAAAATCCAAGAGCGTTATTCTTGCCGTGTTGTGCTCATTCATTAAATCTTTTATTAGGTAAGATTTTTAGTTGCCTGTTCTTTATTATTTTTTATGTAAACAATATGTTATTAATAACTATTTGAATATTATTATTTTAGGGGATATGGCAAATTGTATTCCACGAGCTATGACCTTTTTCGGAGTGATACAAAGGTTGTACACTTTATTTTCTGCTTCTACAGAGCGTTAGAAAATTTTGAAAAAACATTTAAAATGTTTAACATTGAAACAGTTGTCTGATACTCGATGGGAGTGCCGATTAGAATTTGTGAAGGCCGTGAAAATGCAACTTAAAGAGATAAATGAAGCGTTAATAGAAGTAAGTGAATCTACATCAATACCGGCAATTAAAAGTGAAGCTATTTCTCTTGCTGAACATGAAATGTCTTACGAATTTGTGCTAAAATCAATAATATGGTATAATTTATTAAATAATATTAATAAAATTAGCAATTCTCTGCAAAATGAAAGCATTTCAATTGATTTTGCTGTAAATAATTTGAAAGGTCTCAATCAGTTTTTAAATAAGTATCGAGAAAATGGATTTAATGAAGCAAAAGAAGAAGCTATACTTATTTGCAAACAAATCAATATAAAACCAGAGTTTAAGTCAAAAAGAATAAGTTTAAAGAAACGAATGTTTAATTATGAAAGCTCTCCTATATTATGTTCAAAAAATGAAGAAGAAACTTTTGTCAATGATTTTTTTTTACCAATTTTAGATCAAGGAATTATGTCTATAAATCAAAGATTCACCCAATTGGATCATTTTTACAATTATTTTGGATTTCTCTTTGATATTGGTAATTTATCTACTGTTGATTCAGATACATTGATAAAGAGTTGCAATGATCTTCAGATTCTTTTACAAACTGGTGAAAACATGGACATAAGTGGAACTGAGTTGTATGATGAGCTTTGTCTTCTTTCAGAAATAATAGAAAAAGGTACTCCATCTCTTCATGTTTTACAAAAAATCCTTAGAAATAGTGTTGGTGATGTTTATGCTAATGTTGCTATAGCATTAAGGATTATGTTCACATTACCAGTTTCAACAGCAACCGCCGAGAGATCATTCTCTAAACTAAAGTTGATAAAAAATTACCTAAAAACCACATTAAATCAGGAAAAAACGACAAACTTAGCTATAATATCAATTGAACGTGATATAGTAGACGAAATGGACTTTGATGATATTATTGACACATTTGCTGATCACAAATCAAGATAAATCAATTTTTAAATACTATTATATGTGTACCTACAATAATGACATGTTATATGTATTATTAAATGAAACAACAATTTAATCATAATTTATTTATGTATAAGTGTATGATGGAAATTACATTTTTAGATGTGTTCATCTAATCAAATTGGCACTACGAAGAGCACATATGAGAATAAAATAAAAATAACAATGGAATGTTATATTATTTTTGAAATAATACTTTATGTATGTTAACATTTGAAATGGTTGAGATTACGACTTACGTGAGTGTAATTTTTTGAGAGAGTTTTTTGGTAGGCCCCGCAAATATAGTTATGCCCCTGGCCCCACAAAATGTAGGGACGGCCCTGCACGGCACCGCCTTTTGCTCTAGGCTGGCGCTCACCCGTGTCTCTCTCGATATCAGCCGTCCAGCTATTAATATGACAATCGGTTGTCATCGGTCGTCTCCCCGCCCTTGACACTGAGATAAGGCCGCCGCCGAATATGGATTACCGATATTGCGTCCTGTTTCGTTTTCGACGTTCACCTGAAGTGGTGTATTTTCTTTGTTGTTGCGTTTTTCGGACGACTACCTTAACCGGACATATTTCGCCTATGCGAACGTTTGTTTTCTTTCTGTGGTTTGTTCAGATATTTCCGGCTCTACCTCTTAGTGGAAATTTCGACAAATTGTGTTTGCAAATTTATCTGTGTGTTCTTGACCGCGCGCTTTAACTTAAGGATATATCCGTTAAAGATCAGTAATTGGAGTAAACTTAAATTAACTATAATTGTGATTGAAGTCGTGCGCTGGACTTAGTGTTACACCTTATTAAATATCTAATAGCGGAATAACATCTATAAATACATATATATATATATATATATATTAGCGCGCAGTGAAGCATCACCGGTTCAACCGTAAACAGTGGATACGCGTTACATATTATAGAAATAAAATTTAGTATGAAATTGACGTTTAATATTTTGAACTGAAAATTTTTTTAATTCGATTATATTGACCTTCGTTAGTTCATTATAATTAGAGTCATGAGATTTAAATTTTTTATAAACCTTTGTTAGTTCGAATACTTTTTTTGGATATTTCTTTTAATATATTTATTAAGAAAGGATATTATAGTTGAAAAAAATTATGGTAAATACTGAAATTTTTTTATATATTTTTATTTTTGTAAAAGGTGAGTGGATTAAATAGGTTACTTAATCATCTCTCCTATTACACTGTACCGCTTGACATAAAATATAAGCATTAATAATTGAAAAAATTGAAACATAAAATTATAACAACACAAATAACTGTGTTTTTTTATCAATATAACTTTTTTTTGAACTCGGGGTCCGATGATTTATAGTAAATAATGTGTATCGAATTTAAGGAAAACACCTAAGGTATTTATATAAAAAATTGTATTTATTCGTTTTTTTTTCTTAAAAATTTATGACATTGTTAAGAAAAAAAAGTTTAAAATATTATCCGTTTTTAATTATATTATTTCTTAAAGATTTACCCATTTATAAGAAACGAAAAAAATTTGTTCAAATGTTTGTGGTAATATATTTTACTAAATATGATTAGTGATCTTTTGACATATCATTGAAAAAATTAGTCCGTGTAAGACTGTGAAAAAATATTGATAGAAAAATTATTGCATTTTTAATTTATCTAGGAAAATTAAAACTTCGGCCGGTGGAAGGAAAATTAATACCAAAATTAATTTAGTTAGCACAAATTATTTTGTCCCTATATTTTTTTTTACAAAAAAAAAAAATATATATAATTTATTAAATTTAATAAGTTAAAAAGTAGTCATTTTTTTTTTAATTAACAAACATTTATTTTGAAAAAAATATTATGTTGTTATTATAAAAATTGAGCTATTTTTTTAAAAACAAACTATGCAGAAAAAAGAGATTTTATTAAACAAAATAATATACTATTTAATTAATAATATTTGCTTGTATTTCGGAAATTCTGTCTATGTAATTTATAAATGATCTAATTACATCATAGTTGACATTTTCAGTATGAATTACAATATTTGTTAAAAATATTCTTGTATTGAGCAAACTATAATATTCTACAGTATCAAGTTCGTCTGGTTTATGACGTGGTTTGTTTTCATTGTCAGAGAGTTCATTACCAAACAAAAACATTGGCTTTATGGCATTACATTCCAAAGAAGCACAAATATTTATTAGAATTTTTTTTAATTCGATTATTAGTTCTAAGTAATACTTTCGGTAATAACTTGGAAATTTATCTTCATCTACTGATCCGTTTTTATTTTTTGGAATAAAGTTAATAAAGTCAACAATATTTGTTTTAATTTTGATAATATCAGAATCATTTTCTACACATGTAAGCTGTAAAAAATTATCCAACATCGGTAACCATTCATTTGTAAGATATTCTACGACATTGAAATTTTGATATTGAAGGTACAAAAAATGTTTCCAAGTCAACCTTAACATAATGATTTTAAAGAAGTTAAAGTACATTACATAAAAATTTTTAGTATGTTTTAAATTGCCTTCTGATAATTCAAATGAATTAACCATTTCAAACATATCTGCAAACTTCTTACCCATATTAACACTCCAATTCACTTGAACATGATATTCGTTTTTAAATGTTAATATTCCAGGTTGATTTGTTGCTAAGTGTATCATAAATAAGTTTGTTGTAGACAATTGCTCGTGTCTTTCATCTGATATTAATTCAGGACTATTGTGTATTTTAATGAATTTAATTATATCTCCTATATTTTTCGATATTAATAAATTTAAATTTATTCTATCCTCTTTCTTGTTGAAATCAAAGTTTATTATTTTCACATTGAATTCGTTTGTTTCATCGCAATCTATAACATCTTGTTGCAACATTTGTATGACATAATTAAGAGTTTTATTAATATTTTTGAATTGATAATCATCTCTTGTCAAATTCTGTCCTTTGTTATAACTTGGTAAATACTTCCTAACGCCACTTAAAAAAATATTTAACAACCATAACGGTCCAATTTTCTCTTTAGCTCTTTCATACAACGTACCAATTTTTTTTTTAATAATTTGGCTGTAATTAATTAAATTGTCTATTATGGATGTCAAATTTACTTCGTGGCATTTTAGTAATTGTTCAGTAATTTTCATTTGAGTCAAAGCACTAAACATGTAAGTACATTTGAAATATTCATTACTATTATTTGAATTAAAATCAATCGATCCCGTCGTTTCAACAAATCTATTAAAACAGCAAATTAATAGAAAAAAAAGTAACTTAATTACCATTGATATCTTAAAGATTATCATAATTTTATTTGTAGTTCAAAAAAATAGAGAATGTGCACAGCTGCCTGCGAGCTGTGGTTATATATAGAGTTATTACTTAAATAAGTGTATATTTAAAAATATCGACAAATGTTTGCTAGTTATTTAAAATTTAATTAAAAAGTTATTTAAAGTGATATTTTAGTGTCTTATTAATTCAACTTTTTTGAATAATCAAATTTAAGTAAAAAAAAAATCATAATCATCGATAATAAAATTTTATATTTTTTAAATACAGGTAATCGATAAACCAATCGCCCTTAATTTTGGAAGTTAATCTTATTTTTATACCTAGATAAGACGAAGAGTATGTTCGGGAATAAGCAGTGATAAAAATAGCAACACCCACTACTCACCTCCACTCTTTACTTTAAATTATTAATAATTTCTGAAATACTGATTCAAAAGCTGTTATCGACCAGTTATTTTCTTAATTAGATTATCCCCTATTTTATTGACTAGTTAAATATGTATATTGCCATAAAATTAAATAACTTTATCACTACTATAAGTTGATGAATCTAAAAAGGAATATTAGATCAAATATATGCAAATAAAAGAAATTCATTTTTTTTCCAATATAGTATTTATTTTGTGAGTAATTAAGCTTTTTTATGATAAAGTGATCTCTCTTTATAGTATAAAGTTTATACTATCGTATAATCTAATCAGGGTCATTCTATGTGAAATCACCTAATGTGTGTGCAGCTCTATAGGTCAGAAATTTTGGACATTTTTATTATAAACTTCTTGAGAGTCATTGAAAACAAAATAATTTTTTTTTTATTGTTTTTTTACCAGATAGCGCAGTCTTTATAATTAAAAACATGAAAAAACACTTATGTTCTAGAGTCTATAACTTCACATCCAAATAAGATATCACTGTGGAATAGGGTGTCCCTTATTTATAAAATTTAAAAACTACAAAGTGCCACCCCCTAGAATTATTCGAATACATGAAAACATAAATTGTACGAAATTTGGAGACGATTGGTCAACTCTAAGACGTGCTCCAAGGGGGTTAAAAATAACCCCCTCAAGGGGGATTTTTTAGTTTTTTATGTCTATCTCAAAAACTTTAGCTTTTGCAAAAAAGTTTATTCGACCTTTTTTGTAGGTATACAATTTTTCTATAAAAAGTATACATACAAAAATTTTCGAAAAGTTCTTATTTAGCCCTAAAAAAATAAAAACGTATATGTTCTATTCTTACCGTTAAAACTGTTAATTTATAAATCGTTCATTATAAAAACATAAAAAAATTCATTTAACCGTTGTTTTAAATTTAATTTTCTATACATTTTTAATTCGACATTTTTTCTATTATTTACTATTCAAAACCTACAATTTTTTTAAATTTTAATTAAAAAAAATACATCAAAGTAAAATTAATACCGTCTCAGTTTCACATTGAAGCTAAAATAATGTATTTTTATTACAAGTTTATATAGTTTCTGGTTGTATAATAATTTGTAAGTGAACATCGATTCAAATATGAAATATATTTGAATCGATTTATAATTTTTTTTGTATCGTTTTACGATTTTAAACACGCATGATTTGCTGAAAGTAACCAACTTTATCATGTTATTACACAAAAGTAATTGAACGAATTTTTTTCAAATTTACATAGTACTTATCTTTAGATAATTAAAACGTCTGGTGAAAATTTGATGATGGAGAAATAATTTTAACACTACATGTAGAATTTACAAAATTTACAATTCACGTATTCTGGAAAATCCACACACTACGTAACTTTCAACATTTTATTTTTATTTTTTGTATTTATTCAGCGTTCTGTACTATATTAAGCATTTGGGACTGATAACAAAATCCTAGGAGCAATGGTTAATTTCGAAAAAGCTCCATTACTTTTCTTTAAAAGTTAATTACTTCAATAGATATTGTTGATTCTTCGACTACATTTTGACAAATTAAGAATTTATCAAATAAATACGCACAAATATGTTTTTCATTTTCAGATTGTAGATGTAATGTCGAGTCCATACAATTAGATCTCAGTTGCACTTTATTTTTTAATTAATGGCTAGTATTTGAGCTTTCAATTTATCTGTATTAAATCTAGTTTCTCCATGACTTAAATAATACTAAAGAAATATCTAAGTCCACATTTGAACATTGTAAACTTTTGTTGGCAACTTTCACTTCACTCAATACTGTATACCAAATATATAAACTTATAAAGATTTCTATTGTACTAATCTCCGAAATTAATGAATTAGTTTGATTTTTAATTAGCAGATCACGTGTTTTATCTAATATTTTATCTAATGCATCAATAATTTTTTTGACTTGAAACCTTATTGCTTTAATACTATCACACCTCTTTTCCCACCTTGTTTCTGACCATTTTTTTATTGTATACTTTTAGCAATGTTTAGAGAATATAATTTTAATACCACTTATAAAGTTTCAAAATTTATAATTGACGTATTATGGAAAATTCATAAACTCCGTAATTTTCAACATTTAATTTTTTCTATTTATTTTACACGAAAATAAATTACTACATACCATTGTAAGCATCTAATTTTAAAGTCATAATTTTTTCAAATATGTATTTTAAATAATTTTATTATTCTAACAATATAATAAAATGTGTTATATTTTTGAGTGTAATATAGAATAATTTTTATTATATATTTCCTTATTATTCATTATACAATATAATTTAATTCTATTTATGTATTATATATAAATACAAGTTTTATTTCTGTTTACATCATGTCTAAGTATAATTAAACTAATTACACCAAGTACAAAGTTATACATTAATAAGTTAGTTTTTAAAAACAAAAAATTATTAAATCTAATTGTATGGACTTGGCATTACATCTACAATCTGCGCTATATGGTATAAAGCCATAAAAAAATTATTTTTGTTTTCAATGACCTTCAAGAAGTCTATGATAAAAATTTCCAAAATTTCTGACCATAGCCGCATTAGGGGATTTCACATGGAATGACTCATCATTATTTGTTTTATTATTTTATTATAAATAACATTGTTATGAATGTTTATAGAATTGTAATAAGAGAAATTTGTATAAGATTATTTAATAATTAAATAAAATAATTTATCATAAAAAAATGAAATAAACAGTATGTAATAGTAATGTGTAAGACTACATAACAAACAAAATACAGATCATTACAATCAAATAAATTACTAAATCGTCAATAAAACAATATAAATATTTTGAAATATTTCCCAATAAGTTTAGTAATTACTCGAGTAGGATTTTTTAAAGCTTGAATATAAAAAGAAAAAATATTAAAGTCAATCTTTATGAAAATTGTGGTGATTTTTTCATTTAATTGTTCGTAACTATAAAGGATTTTTATTAAATTACTCAATTCCCCTAAAGCTCTTCCCTAAAAAATGAAATTTTGTACGAACTCCGATACATTTTATAAAAATGTTCCTAATTTTGGTTCAATTTAAAAGTTACTCAAGTCAAATGAAAAAAACCATTTAGTTTTTTTAAAAAATAAGTTGATTTTCAGATATATTTTATATAAAAAAATTTCAAGACATTCGATATAATTAGACAAACAAGTAGAGCTGCTTAAATTATACTATTATATTTAAACTAAATTTAAACATCTGAACAATATTTAGGTTAAAAAAAAGAATTTACATGCTCCAAAATAAACTAAAAAAATTATAATAACAACAGACGAAAAAATAGAACCAAATCTTGCCCAAAAAATTGTGTAATTGTAAAAATATGTTGTAATGAAACTTTACAATTCCCAGAGTAAATTATTTCACTACTTTATACTTTTAACGTTAAGTTAATTATCTTAACATAAATGACGGATCGGGGGGTTTTACTTGACAATCGTATAATATCAATTCCAAACAGTAACTTTATTATATATATATATATATATAAACTAATAAATATTCAATATATCAATATATTAACATTAGAATAATAATAGTAGAAAAAAACAAACAAAAACGAAACATCACCCAGCCATCAGCTATCCATAGTGCAATTAACGTTGAATCGACTGCCAAAACGCTTCCCAAAGTAATTGTTCCTTTTGCGTATGGAATGTCAACCTCCGCTGCTCTATTTCCGTTGAGCACTCGAGTAATAGCACGTAACTGGTAATATAAAGTGTTGGTTGTCACCTAATCAGGCCAATACCAACCAAAAAACAATGAAACAAATTAAAAACACGCCAGCTCACTGGCCACGAGTCATCAGACTCAAGAGATGCGGTACGACTTCAATCGCGTACACCGACGTAGTGCTCGCAAGGTGCCGGTAGTGCCGGACACGATTGTTGTCATTACATTGAGAGGGGTAATGCCAACTCGAGCTATGTGTAACTTTACCGGCTACACACATAACTTTTGAACAGTAATATTACATTTTTTCAAGTTTTTTCTTAAATTTTCTTTTATCATAGTATCTGTTAATTGATATGTTAATGAAATACAAAAAAATCGGTTTACTTTATAACTTGATAACATTTCTTTTCTCAATTTACAACGTATACATTTTTGAAGTTTATAAATATTGATCGAGTTGGCATGACTTACTTGTTTTATTTAATTTGTTTTCATTTGTGTAGTTTTTTTGCTATACACATATTATTTTGTGTATTTTTGGTCTATTCAGGGTCATTGATACTTCCACTAAACAGGAGGTTTATTAACCATTTTATTCCGGGGCGAGATTACAACTACTACAAATAGTGAACTGATCTCTCACTCAAAGTGAGCCAAGTTATTATCGAGTATCTGATATAACTTACGAACGCCGACTATATGAAATTACTAGCAGCTATGAAATAGAAAATTATTGGTTAGATACTTAGTATTTTTACTTTAACAGTTAATTTTTTTTTTTGTATGAATAATTTAATGACCAGAAATTACAGAAAATTATTGATAAAATCGGACTGTACCATTACATAAAACGAAAGTTAGACCAAATAAAAGACTAATAATTTTGTTCTTTAGACAAAAAAAAGTATTTCAAAATATTTTTTAAGCAATTCTTTGTTTATTATTAAATCATAAAATAAACATTATTTCTAATGTTTTACATTATTAACACAAGTAATACGTGGTGGAGAACAAAAAGAACACATAAATGTTAGAATAATACATCTGTAATACATAATATATAATTAGTAATTATAAAATTGATTTATGTCGACATATAATTTTTGCAAATGAATCAATTAAATCTTCGCCATTAAATTCGTTCAACATTTAATTTTCTGTGTTGAGAAATGCGATATTATTTAAGTTAGAACCATTCTGAGTGGATTTAATATAGTTTTTGATGCGTTTGAGACACGAAAACGATCTCTCTATAGTACAATTAGACACATTTATACATACAAAAATTCTTAATACTATATCAATATTTGGAAAAATATTTAGGATTTAATGAATCTGTTTGTTTTACTTTGATACATACTGCAATCTGCATCGTTTATGAAGTAAAACCAGATATCAAAGTTAAAGAAAAAGGTGCGAATTATGTGTAAATTTTTTTTATCTATATTTTGTATTTTTAACTTCATAAAGCAATAAAATTTTGAAAAATGTATAAATCAATAATAAAATATTCAATGTTCAATATTAATCCATGATGAAGTATCCCTTGTTTGACGATTGATTATAGTTTCTTCAAAAATGAATTTTTCTAGAAATATAATAAGTAAAATATAGGAATTATATTTAAATTAATTGAAAATTAATATAGACAGAATAGTTATATCTTTATTTTATTGATATTCAATTTTATTGTGATTCAACATTGATTTTTTAATTAAATAAGTATACGATTAGTTTCATTTAATTTGATAATAATTATTAATAATAATAAAGTATTATTCTAAATTAAACTACAAATACATATATATATATGTGGGTACCATTGGTATCTAGATGGCACCACTTCCAGGATATGGATATAGATAGTGGTATCAAGTATTATGAGAAGGGAAAATTAAGTTAAATTGTGAGTCGGCTAAGACGTGTCTCTATGTATATTCTTTAATTTATATGTGTATTCTGTTTTATATAATATTTTTGTGTTGTGTGAATATTTTATATAGAGCTTTCGTGTGTAATTAAATATATGTGTTATTTTTGTTTGTTAACATTTAATAGAGTTTTTGTGTATTAATTTATATATATATATATA